ACACGTTCCTGCTGTGTAGCCGGGAGGCTTTTGTTAAGAATGTGGACTGTCACTTGTGAAATGGTGCAAAGTAGCACTCATAGGGCCGTTAGTATTATTGTGTGCGTAATGTGTGCATGAATCTTTTAACAGGGTGCCCCGAGTTTATAGACACTAAAGATGTGTTCAGTTTTTGAGGTTAGTGCTATTTTGGAATAGCTAAAATGGTGCCCTAATCTAGATTTCTGGAAGCCTACGAGACAGTCCCGTGGTCTAAGACTTTTTTTATTTTTTAATAGCATTCATATGCCTTGAGAATGCTCTGGCTATGAAAGAGGAAGAGGGTGATTCCAGATTTGTGGATGAATAAAGTAAAGAGAATAGGAAGGAAGTTGGGTCTCTCAGGACCTAGAGATGGTGTGTATGGGTCTGAGAGAGCAAGCATGGGTTAGGTGGTGCTTTCAAATTCAGTCTTAAACTTAGAACTCTAGAGACTGTAACAGGACAAAGAGCCTTACAGATGGCATAGCCCTGCACCACCATCCTAAAGGTGTGGAAAAGATCCAGAGACCCAGGTAGCTTGAACACATCCTTAATGCCAGAGAGGGTATTAACTAGCAGTTTTTTTCCTGAGTACCAGTCCTGTCTGTTTCCCCACATTATCTTTGTGTTTGAGGTGGAGGCAGCATGGTGGTGAGAGATGCCCATTAAAGCCTTTGGAGGTGTAACTTGGAAGTTCTGAGGAAAAAATAAAGCTTGAGATGATTGTCTAAACCATGTGCAATGAACAAATTTAATATTTCCCTACTTTTTAACAACTTGGTGTACTTCAAATTATGTGCAGTTATGTTTAGCATTATTTTTCAGTCTGCAGTTGAGTGTATGCTCATGAATTCAGTACCAATTCTGAATGTGTGCATATATGTGTCTTTTACAGGTTCTGCCCTTTATATACCGGGCCATTGGCTCAAAGCATCTTCCTACAAGTAATATAAGTTTTGTGCATTTTGATTCACATCCAGACCTCCTTATTCCTGTGAATATGCCAGCTGACACTGTATTTGATAAGGAAACACTTTTCGGGTAAAATGTGATTTTTGTGAATGATCTTTTATGCACCTGAAATACAATTTGCAGTAGATGATAAGCAATTAAGAGAAATAGTCTTTGCTAAGCTCATGAGTTTTGCTTTTGTTTGCCTTTTTTATTTTATTTAGAACAAGTATGGACAAACTTTTTCTTAACGAACCAGATAGTAAATATTTTAGGCTTGCTGGCCATATGGTCTCGGTTGCAACTACTTATTTTTGCCTTTGTGGTGTGAAAGCAGCTGTAAACACTACGTAAACAAGTGTCAGTGGCTGTGTTCCAATAAAACTTTATTTGCAAAAACAGGTAGCCCAGCCAATGCATACCAGCCTCTGCTTTAGAATTAGAATTTTAGAAGTCGGAGACTTTAGAAATTACCTAAGCCAGTTCACTCTTCTTTACCCCTTTAAAAGTCTGGTTACAGAGGCACAAGAAAATGTGTCTTGAACACATAGTTGAATAATTGTATAAGCAATGCATCTGTAATTTGTGTATCCTTTCTTCCAGTATTGAGTCCCTGCAACCTCCCAATTTGTTTCTTTTCAGGTCACAAATCCTATTGACTTTCAGTTATACAGAATCATAGAGGTGGACATGAAATTGGTAATTTGTAGTCCATTCTTCAGGAAAGACATACCTAGTGTATCTCCAAATAGTGACTTACTGACCTTTCTTCAGTGATATAGTTCCCTGAAATCGTGTCACTGTCTCTTATGTATTTGTTACAATGTAGCCTACTCGTATAAAATGAAAAGTTACATAGCAGTAATTTTCCTGTTATAATATAAAATTAAAATATAGATGCTTGTGTGAATTAATTTTAGCCTACTACATTTCTTTTAGTTGACTCTAAAACTAAAACTCTGAGCACTAATGTCTAAAGAAATGTGGTAGCTCTACGTGAGCTCTACCATTGTCCTTACTCTCTTTTATATTTAGAGATTTTATATTTTAGAAACTGGAAGACTTTCTCACGTGAAACCCTGGTGCTTGGTGGTAGTGATGAATACAGTTACTACTAGTAGAGTTTGGTGCCTTTGCCTTGATTAATCTTAGGATATCAGCCACCATTGCGTTGTACTGTCAGTGTAAATGTCAATACAGTGAAAAAGGGGAATAGTGCCTTGGTATTCTTAGAAAAATTGTTTCGAACTGGTTACACTGAAAAGGTCTCAGGAACCCCTGCAAGGGTCCTTGGACCCCACTTGGAGACCTACTGTCTTAAAGTATTGTTCTGAATGAAATTACATTTGGAAAAGCCTACTTACTAACAGTTTTCATGCTTCCTCTCTATTTCTTTCCAGAGAATTAAGTATTGAGAATTGGATTATACCTGCGGTTTATGCTGGCCATTTTTCCCATGTAATATGGCTTCATCCCACATGGGCTCAGCAAATCAGAGAGGGCAGACATCATTTTTTAGTCGGCAAAGACACTTCGACCACAACAATCAGGTAATTTCCTCGTATTTATGAGTATGAAAAGGATTGAATACTTCTTCTACCTGATTTTAGGTCCCTGTAATAACTTATAAGTATCTCTACACAAAAATGGGGTCAGATTAGCCCTCAACTCTTCCAAAAAGAGTTCTGGAAACACCAGGAACAAATTTGCAAGTCTCTTGATCTTTTTCACACATCATTTGTATTTTGTTGCTAGTCAAGTTGGTTTTTGAATAACATGATCTTCCTCCTCTGGAAACCTGGCTCCATTGATGACTAACTCCATTAAATCATTGAAGTACCTTATAGACTTAAGTATTTAATGAAAACATTTTATTATTTCCTTCCAATGTAACTTTTGTCTGCTGAATTTAACAATTTGCAATGAAAAAGCAAAATTATCTCACTTTGGTTTTTTTGTAAATTCAGTGGCTGAAAAGTAGATTTGGGGTTTTAATTTTATTAATATGGTGAGCTCTAGATAATTACCTAATCTAAATAGCAGCATTCTCTGATTTGAATTACATATGCAATTATTTTTGGTGTATAAGGTATTTAACCAATGTTTTATGTAGCTTATGATACTGTAATATCTTTAGAAGTATCAGAATGTTCTTGGCTTTCTAAATTCTCTTGTTATGGGATGAATGTTTTAAGCAGTGGAATCTTGACTTTCTAGAACCTGAAGGATAGTGGGGTGAAATGGTAATACATTGAAAATGAAATACAGTCTACCTCACTGAAAATGATACTTTTTATTTCTGATTTATCCTTAATGATACAATTAACTTTTCTTGAATGTTCTTATCAATTGGACAAGTAACTTTTCTGTGTATACATAAAAATTGTGTTTATTGAGGATATAATAACAAATAAATAGGGCTCCACATACAAATATTATACTTAATACTGGTTTATATGAAAGAGTGGTAGGGTTTTTATTAAGTACTTTGGTGAGTAGGCCTAATTTAACCTGTAACAGGTTTCTGCAAATCAAATTAATTTTGAGCAATCTGAAACAGACATTTGATACTCAATGTGTAGAGACAATATTAGGAAGATTTTTATTATCTCATGATTTTAGTTAATCCTGCAAGTAAAAATTTATGGGAAAGACACACATACAGGTATGCAGTCTGAGATGTATGTATGTGTTTGTACAGATGTGAACAAAGGAAAATGTTCCTTATTAAAGAAGAATACAGATTTAGATGGAAGGATACAGCCTTTGTCTTTCTTAGGATGGTACAGTTTTTAATAATCTTGGACATTAGTTTTATTGTCATTAATCTTCTCTTAGAAAATTGAATCTTTTTAAATTTAAGGCTGTATATGCTAGGGGAGGGTGGGTGGGAAATAAATGTTAACCATTATTTTAATTGGGTAGATCCTACCTCTGGAAGAAGCATTTGGTTTTGCTGTTCAAAGTACTTACCAAGGCATAGTATAGTTGAAAAGCTAAGAACATGCTGATATGTCTAAAATCAGAAATCTACAACTTGTGAAATGCATTCTGTACATGCACAAGATTTTTTTAAGTTAATTTTCATATTAAAATATTATAGTTATATAAAATTTAATGAAGCTTTGAAATATGTCAGAGGGAGCTTCTATTATTATTATTGTAAATTATTTCCAGATATAATTTTTCTCTTAAGTGATTTTTTTGGGTAAAGTTCCAGCTGGTATGAGAGAGATCCAAAGCACTGGCTAAACAGGACCATTTATTTCTTTCTCATGTTAGAGTTGATCACACACAGTCCAGGGCCAATGTGACAGCCCTACAGTTTGGAGAACGCCAGTGTCTTCTGTCTTGTTGCTCCCCCCGTCTCTAGAGTATCGCCTTTGTCCTCAGAGTCCAAGTGGGGCTTGCCACCACCTTGTTCACATGCCAGTCGATGGGGAGGGGAGGGCAAGGCTCTGTACGCTTCTCTTCCACTCAGGGCTTTTGACCAGAATGTGGTCAAATGGCCACACCTAGCTGCAAGATAGACTGTGAAATATGGTCTTTACTTTGGGCACTTGTGTGCCCAGCTAAAAATTTGGGGAACCCTATTTCCATAGAAGAACAGGAAGTACAAATATTAGAGACAGCTCTCCAGTTTTTGTCAAATATGTCCTTTCTTATATTTCTGAAATTCTATATGAAATGTCAGCTAATTTGTCCTTTTGTCTTTAAAATATTTTTTTCCTCTGATCCAGGGTTACAAGTACAGATCTTTACTTTCTAAGTGATGGTCTTTATGTAACTGAAGACCAGCTAGAGAACCAAAAACCTTTACAATTGGATGTAATTATGGTGAAGCCTTATAAACTCTGTAACAGTCAAGAAGAAAATGACACAGTGTCTTCTGCTAAGAAGCCAAAGCTAGCACTGGAGGACGCAGAGAACACTGCCTCTACTAATGGTGAATCTTGTTCAGAAGGACTGGAAGATGACTCAGTGACACAGACAAGAGACCAAACTTGTCTACAACCATCATGTTCATGTTCTTCTGAAAGCCAAGAATGCCACACTTCAGTCAGCACTGGAGAAATCCTGAAAATTTTGGAGAAAGGGGATGCATTTGTTTTAGATATTGACTTAGATTTTTTTTCAGTCAAGAATCCCTTCAAAGAAATGTTCACTCAGGTAAATGAGGTATTTTTTTTTTTGATGTAGACCATTTTTGAAGTCTTTATTGAATTTGTTACAGTATTGCTTCTATTTTATGTTTTGGTTTTTTGGCCACGAGGCATGCGGGATCTTAGCTCCCTTACCAGGGATTGAAACCCTCGCCCCCTGCATTGGAAGGCGAAGTCCCAACTACTGGACCATCAGGGAAGTCCCAAATGTGGTATTTTTAAAACGTGGCTCTGGAGAATTGTATGAAATTTCTGTAGATCAGGATCAGGAAACTTTCGGCAGACAGGCAGATAGTAATCACTTTGTGGGGGACCCCATGTGGTCTCTGTCACATATTCTTCTTTGTTGTTTTTATACCCTTTAAAATTGTCAATACTATTCAATTTTTGTATACCTACTGGAGGGATATACAAAAACAGATTGTAGGCCATAGGTTGCTAATCCCTGCTCTAGATAGTGTTATTTTGCATTTATTAATTGGGGTAGTGTGTACACAGGTGGTTGAAAAAAATAAAATCATATACAGTTGCCCCTTGAACAACATGGAGGTTGGGGCACCAGCCCTCCACACAGTCAAAAATTTGCTTGTAACTTTGTACTGGGCCCTTGGTATCCACAGTTCCACATCTGAAGATTGACCCAGCCGTGGATCATGTAGAACTGTAGTATATATTCACTGAAAAACGCCACATATGGAGCCATGCAGTTCAAACCCATGATGTTTAAGGGTCAGCTGTAGTACAGAAAGGTGTATACATTAAAAAGTGTATATGTCAAAAAAAAAAAAAAAGTGTATATGTCACTCTCTTACTCCTTCTCCATTCCCTCAGTTTCTTAGAAACAAATACCATGGCTAGTTTCTTGGTATATCTTTCCAGAGGTATTCTATGTATATACAATCCCATGGGACAGATTTTTCACTGAACATTGAGGTGCCTGATTACACATGTATGATTTGTAGCTAATGATTCAGTCCTGTGATCCTTCAGGTACCTCATCAGATCTTAAATGAAAATCACCAGACACTATTAGTATGCACAGATCTGAGGTAGAACTATGTGTGCCTTTAAGAAACTGGTAAATTCATGATCCAAGTGAGCATTCCCAGGTGCATTTTATGAGCACATATAACTGCTTACCTTGACATATGGGAGGTTGTTCTAGATTGGTTCTTTTGGGGATTCAAATTAACTGTCTTCTTTCTACCTAAGTTCAGTATTTGATTCATGACAATGATGTTGCACTTTACACTCCTTGTTCTGTGTGCGTATCGGAAGCCATTGTGATTTATCTAAATTATCAAAGATCTTTAATAGGTACTGATTAAAAATAGGTGAAATTGGAGAATGTACAGTTGACCCTGAACAACAGAGAGGTTAGGGGTGCCGATTCCCTGTGTAGTCAAAAATCCAGGTATAACTTTTGACTCCTCCAAAATTTACTAATAGCCTGCTGTTGACCGGAAGCCTTACTGATAATGTAAACAGTAAATTAACACATACTTGGTATGTTATATGTATTATATACTGTAGTATTATAATAAAGTAAGCTAGAGAAAAGAAAATGTTGAGGGCATCATAAGGAAAATACATTGACAGTACTGTACTGTATTTATCAGTACCGTAAGTTTATATCATGTTAATAAGATGAACCTACATCAGTATTGCCTCTTATGATACAAAACACTTATACGTATTACTAGCACTAGATATCAAAAATGAAAAGATAATGTGACAAAGTCATATTTATTTACAGGTATAATGATTCATGCATTGATAATGAGGAAGCAGCAATATGATTGCTTTACAGTAGCCTAGTGTAATTTGACATGATTGCTTCATGGTAGCCTAGCCTCTATGCTAATGAATGAATCGTTATAAAAATTTTATGACATACAGTATTACAGTCATATTCATGGTACAGTATTGGAAACATTGTTATATTTTTTTAAAAACCACTTATGTGATAAGATGATATGCAGTTTCTCCAATTAGGAGAGAGAGGGGCATACTGTACAGTAATGTAATTCTTTGAAAGCAAAGTTGTAAAACAGTAGGAAAACTAACCCATTACTAATTTTATAGTAATACCATTCATCTTGTGTCTATGTAAGGATAGGTTAATATCTATGTACATTTTATGCATTCATGACATACTTAACTTGTTCTTAATTTTTTCAATATTTCTAGGCTATACAGTTGGTCTGCAAATTTTTTCAAATTGTTGCAGATCTCCAAAAACATTTCCAATATACAGAAAAATATGCATGTATAAGTGGACTTGTGTAGTTCAAACCCATGTAGTATACCTTATAGTTTAATAGCTATTTTTTAAAAAAACATGTTCAGAAGTCAGAAAGAGTTAAGTTCTGTTTGTTACTTCTGCTTATTAGCTGAATGATCTTGGGAAAATTACTTAACCTTTCAGACCCACAGTTTCTTCAAGTATAAAGTCAAAATAATAATCATACCCAGCTCACAGGATTGTTATGATGAGGATAGTGCACAGCTTTGTGCTTAAGGAATTTTAGGTCTTGTGTGTAACCCCTTCCTGACAATGCTCCTAAATAGGATTATTGGGGCCAGATATACCTATCTATAGTGGGGCTGCCTGGCTTTGCTGAATAAGGGGAGACATTCTCCTGCAAAATCCTTCCATTGCATCTGCCTCCAGGATTGCCTTTGTACTCCAGAGCTCGCTTCTGTGGCTAGGGAAGGAGCTGCAAAGTGAATGTGGAGAGTTTTGTTATTGTTACTAAGATATGTATATTTCCCATAAATAGCGAAAATCTCTTCAGATCCTAGGATGTATCCATTTATAGAGTAGAATATTATTAGAAATATTTTCATCTCATTACCTGTTAGCCATTAAGTCTTCTTCCATAGCTAATTTTTACACATTCTTGTCATGCCCAGATGGATAGAGTTACCCTAAAGAAGTGGTAATATTTACAATGAAATATGAATTATACATATTCCCTGATTTTCCCTGACTAACCTTTAAATGATTATCTAAGATGTTCTTGTATCACAGCCATTTTTTATTTAAAGCATATCATTGAAAAATCAATCTTTTTTCTAGTATATGGATTTTTTGTTTTGTTTTCCAGGAGGAGTACAAAATCTTACAAGAGCTGTACCAATTTAAACAGCCTGGTGCCAACCTGACAGAGGTATCCTCCATTTGTCTCTTTTGTGTTTGTCTATTTATCACATATCTAATAATATCTTACATGGTGTTGGAGTACTCGCATACAACTGTCCAAAATCTTGGTGTGTGTTTCTTGGGGGAGCCCATGGTTAGTACTTGAAAAATTATGTTTTAACTAATTGAATCAAATTTTCATTGTAATGGGATTTCACTTGTCTTTTTGAAAGAGTAACTATATAATCTCGGCTTTTCAATGTGTCTAAAGGAAGATTTGGTAGATTGTGTTGATACTCGAATTCATCAATTAGAAGATTTAGAAGCTGCTTTTGCCGATTTGTGTGATGGTGATGATGAAGAAACTGTACAGAAATGGGCTTCAAATCCTAGGTAAGACCCTCAATTTTTTTTTTCTCCAACTCTACTGTATTTAATCCTAGATATATTGCTAAATTTGCTAGATAAATTGCTTTTGAAAAATTAGTATCTTCTTGGGACTTCCCTGGTGGCACAGTGGTTAAGACTCTGCGCTCCCAATGTAGGGAACCCGGGTTCAATCCCTGGTCAGGGAACTAGATCCGACATGCATGCCGCAACCAAGAGTTTGCATGCCACAACTAAGGAGTCGGCGAGCTGCAACTAAGGAGCCTGCCTGCCGCAACTAAGACCTGGTGCAACCAAATAAATAAATAATTTTTTTTTTTAATTAGTATCTTCTTTTGCTATGTGTATTACCTATTAAAATATTCAGTGCAATTTTCACTTAAAAATAAAATGTTCAGAAACATCCCTGAAATATAAGTATCGTAAAACTTTATTGTCACTAAGGAAAGCAGTGGTATGGAGGAATAAACCATAGTAGTATTAATCATATCAGTAAATACTGATCAGGCACTTTCTTCCTCTTCAGTATAGGGCACTAGATCTAAAAATGATTCCCTCCTTTTTGACATTATGATGGAAGATGGAGATATAGAAATAAGTCACAGGACATGATTCTTCCCAGGAATATTGAAGAGTACCTACTATCTTGTGATTTTGTGAAGTCTTAAGCCAAGTTTAAAATTAAATGAAACAAAACAAACAAAATAGCCTGACAGCTTTAGAATCCTGAATCTGGCCACCTTCCACTGAAACCCACCTGCCTACTGAGCACACTTAGCTCTTCACCACCTGCAGGCAGTTCTGTCACAGCCTTGAAGAAACAACAAGGCTACAACAGTGGTGAGTTTAAATTGTGACTGGAATTGGAGGAAAAAAAGAATAGCACCAAGGAAAAGTGAGTCAGACAGCAAGAAACGTCTCCCCAAACTTACCATGCCCCTAAAGGGTCAGACCCTCAGCATGAAGGAGTCTTCACTATTGCTAAGGAAATAGAAGAGGTGGATGATTAGGGTCCAGAAGCCCAGAAAGTGTCGTTAATAAAGAGGGAAAAGTAATAGGGTAAGTGGGTAGACAGGCCTCCATGCCTTCCTTTTGTCTTTATTTTTTTCCCTCCCAGCAGATAAGTGGGTATAGGTAGAGGTGGCATTAAAATACTAGAAACACTAATTAATCAGGGCTTCCAAAGAGTTCCATCTATATTAAATAACTTAAAAGCACCATTGTTATTATATCACAGTATAAAACTTTTCCAGTTATAATTGTATATGTCAATAAATATGTCCTTAATTTTTTTTTTTTAACTTTTGGGAAACTATCTTTTCTCATCACAGGGTGCTAAAGGCACTTAGTTTTCTTGCTGATCAAAATAATTTTTAAAGTCACAGTAGAACTTTCATTTTTAAAGAAGAGGAAAATGTCAGTTTCTTGAGTGCTAATTTTTAATCTTTAACACAATCTGTAATCTTTTAAGTAAGAAGACAGCAGGGAGGGGCTTCCCTGGTGGCACAGTGGTTAAGAATCCAGCTGCCAATGCAGGGGACGTGGGTTCGTTCCCTGGTATGGGAAATCCCTCATGCGGCAGAGCAACTAAGCCTGTGCACCACAACTGCTGACCCTGCGCTCCAGAGCCTGCGAGCCACAAGTACTGAGCCCGCATGCCACAACTACTGAAGCCCGCGCATCTAGAGCCCGTGCTCTGCAACAAGAGAAGCCACAGCAATGAGAAGCTCACGCACCGAAACAGAGTAGCCCCCACTCGCCGCAACTAGAGAGAGGCTGTGCACAGCAACAAAGACCCAATGCAGCCAAAAATAGATTAATTAAATAAATTTTAAAAAAAGAAAAGAAAACAGCAGGGAACCTTTGTTTCTTAATATTTTAAGATGATATTTGAACAATTTTAATTTCCCAAGAATCATATGAAACATATTGTTAATGGTAAATTTCATTTGCTACTATAATTTTAGTTGAGGTGATGTGATGTTTAACTGAGGGGTGCTTTTTTCCAGAATGGAATCACTAGTTCCACTGGTACAAAGTTTGAAGAAACGGATGGAAGCGCCGGACTATGAAATGGTAAATACTTACATTGAAGTATAAAATGACCCTTTAAGAAAAGCATTTTTCTGGCTAGAAAAATGTGCTCTTTGTTAAAGTGATTCACTTTTGTGTTCCTGGAAAGTGTGAGTGGATTTAAAAAAAAAAAAGAAGAAGAAGTGAAAGAAATACATACTTTTTAGAAGCCAGAACACTGGAAAAGTTTTCCAGGAAAAACATAGTTTTGCCAATTTTATGTATGAAGCAAAAGTACTGTGGATTTATTAACTTTGCCTATGGTCAGATCTGTCCTTGCCAGAGAAAAGATTTCTTTTAGAAAAGAAAATTTCTACATTTGCTCATTCTTTATTGGTTCATTTTTATACTCCCTTCCCCCTTCTTTCTTTCCTCTCTCTCTGAAAACTTTTGATTGTAAAAACCAAATAGAAGGACAATAGAAGCCATTGTGGCCAGCACATCTTAACTGTATTAGCTGTATAAGTTTGTTTGCCAACGGCAATCTGAATGCTGTGTCGAAAGAAGATGCCTTTAATGATAATTTCTTTTATTTTTATATCATTTTATAGTATTTAAGCATAAATTTTCCCATTTGAAGTTCAGGTACCTTTTCTCAAATTTTGTGCCAGAGCTGAGACCTCCAGGTCTTCTGCTTCTTTTACTTCTGGTGTTTATTTTACTTTAATAAATTGTGGTTTTGCTGTAGTGTTTTTTTGTGTAATATAATCAAACCACTTTATTTGAACTGAAGTTTATATATTTATTTAATGCTAACTTTGTGAGAATAAAAAATACCAGCAAAAGAATATTTTGGTTAAATCAGAGATAACTCAAGACTCACCCTTTTTTTTAATGGCAATTATTAAGAATGATAGTGAGAAGACATTTAGGGTTTAAAACTCCTTTGAGCTCACGTGATATTATTGAATGTGTCTTCATGCAGGTCTACTTTAGTCATCACATGGCATCTGAATTTTCTGGTGGTGGAGGGGGTGCGGTTTTGTACATCGTTTGTTGAGAAAAAGGATGGCATAGGCTTGGTAGCAGATTATGTAATCAAATGTAATGTGCCCATAGCTGCAGGGTTAGAACACTAGGTGTTTTGATCATTTTAGTAGGAAAGAACATGCAGAGTCTCTCTTTTTAGTGCATTGACTGATGATTGCCAGTTAAATCTTTGATGTGTATCCAGAGCCTCCAGTGATACAGTAGATTAGTGTTTGTTTCCATACTTTGCACTTACGTACTCTAGGCAAAACTACAATATATTTGAATTCCAGTTTTCAGAACTTTAAAGCAGAGGCTGCAAAATGTCAGCCTGTGGCCCATTTCTGGCTCTTAGGCACATTTAGTTTAGTGCTAAGACTGGAACACCAGTCATTTATATTTACAACACATGTATAAGATATCAGTATATATGGTTATACATGACACGTACACAAGAAACTCAAAACAGTAGGTTCAGTAAGGTAGGAGGAAGTCTTCCCCTTGTATCGTCTTGAAGCTTTAAATGTAGTACTCATTACATGTATTTAAAAAGTAAATAGGGGGCTTCCCTGGTGGCGCAGTGGTTGAGAGTCCACCTGCCGATGCAGGGGACACGGGTTCGTGCCCCGGTCCGGGAAGATCCCACATGCCGCGGAGCGGCTGGGCCCGTGAGCCATGGCCGCTGAGCCTGCGCGTCCGGAGCCTGTGCTCCGCAACAGGAGAGGCCCACATACCGCAAAAAAAAGAAAAAAAAAGTAAATAGGGACTTACCTGGTGCCACAGTGGTTGGGAGCCCACCTGCCAATGCAGGGGACATGGGTTCGAGCCCTGGTCCGGGAGGATTGCACATGTCGCGGAGCAACTAGGCCTGTGCGCCACAACTGCTGAGCCTGCACTCTAGAGCCCGCAAGCCACACCGAAGACTCAATGCAGCCAAAAATAAAGTAATTAATTTTTTAAAAATCTGTTAAAAATAAATAAGTAAATAAAAAGTAAATAAAATAATTTGTTGAAAGAAAAGTAAGGTGAGAATACTATGTACCAATTTATATTAGCTTTTAGAGTCAAGGTGAAATGGACAATTTGCTAGAAAATGTAAATTATCAAAATAGACTGAAGTAAAGACAAACTGAATGAATCCACAATCATAAAATAAAGAATTATTCCTAGAAAAGGCATCAGGCCCAAACTGTTGTACAGGCCAGTTCTTCCAAAACTTCGAAGTATAAATAACTGCTATGGCATGGAAACTATTAAGGAAGAAACAATCCTAATCCACAAAAATATTAAAAATTCGTCAGCAAGGCCATAAATGGTTAAAGAATCTTCTGAAAACAACAACATTACCTTGTCATTTTTAATTGTCTTATTTTCAGGTTCACCAGGCTGGTCTAACCTGTGATTATTCAGAACTTCCTCACCATATCAGCACAGAACAAGAAATTGAATATCTTATTCAATCTGTGTATTATGTTCTAAAAAATTTGCCAAAACCTACTGTAGTGACAATTGCAAGGTAAGTGTGGTAGCTTGAATAATGGCTCACCAAATATGTCCACATCCTTATCTCCAGAGCCTGAGAATATGTTGCCTTATATGCCAGAAGGGATTTTGCATATCTGGTTCACTCAAGGAGCTTGAAATTGAGGAGATTATCCTGGATTATCCAGGTGAGCCCAGTGTAATCACAGGGGTTATTATAAGAGAAAGGCAAGGAAGGTCAGAATCACAGAGATTGGAAGATGCTAGACTGCTGGCTTTGAAGATGGAGGATGGGGCTTTGAGCTAAGGAATTCATGCAGCCTCTAGAAGCCAGAAAGACAAGGAAACAGATTCTTCCCTAGAGCCTAGAGAAGAAATACAGCCCTGACAGCACCTTTATTTTAGGACTTCTGATCTCCAGCACAACTGTAAGGTAATAAATTTGTTTTGCTTTAAGTCACTAAGTTTGTAGTAATTAGTTACAACGGCAGTGGGAAATTAATTGATCTCCGTAGATGAGTCTAATGATTACTAATGCAGTAGTCCTTACCTACTAATTTTTTTACCTACTCAGCTCGAAATTCAGGTGTTATATTTCCTCTTTCCTATTAGTGATGGTTGGCAAACAACATACAACTCCTGTTAATCTTGTCTTTGAGGTTGGTGATGTTATTCAGTTGAACATAAGAATTCCCATTTCTGTGTCCTACAGGTGAATATTTAGCTGCTACCACGTTTTAAATTTGAATGTACTAATGTGCTGAATAGTTACAACAATTTAATAAAAATTTCTTTTCTATGTTAATCTTTGGACTCATTTTGTATGTAACTGTGAGTTTCTAAAATAAGTACTTTAAATGCTCAGGCAAATAATATTATGTATTTTATGAGAAATATTTATGAGAATTCTTTTACCATCCTGAATGAAATTCATAGATAATCTAATCTATATACACATAATTTAAATATATTTAGATAGCATTTATAATATATAGATGATATCATCTGTCTTAATCCATTCAGGCTGCAATAACAAAAATATCTTAGACTGGGTGGCTTATAAACAGCGGGAATTTATTTCTCAAAGACCTATAGGCTGGAAAGTCCAAGATGAAGGCACCAGCAGATTCAGTGTCTGGTGAGGACCTGCTTCCTGGTTCATAGACAGCCATCTTCTCCCTGTAACCTCACATAAAATGAAGGGGTGAAGATGCTCTCTAGGGCCTCTTTAATAAAGGCATTAATCTCATTCATGAGGACTCCATCCTCATGACCTAATCACCTTCCGAAGACCTCCACCTCCAGATATAATCACATTGGGGATTAGGTTTCAACATAGTGATTTTGGGGGCGCACAAACATTTAGTTTATAGCAGTAACCTACCTATACACATAATTTAAATATATATTCATATATCCACACACCAAAAAAATCATAACATAAAGGAGAAATGAAAGTAATTGATAATAGAGTAATATATATTAAGATGCCACACCAAACTGGCATCTTTACAAAGAGTCACTGAATGCAGTTGTTAAAAATGCCAACAGATCCAGTGTGTCATATTGTCCAAATACCATGAACAGCACTGCCATGGCAACATGGTTGGTCTAGTCACAGGAACCTCTTGGTAAAGTTCTGAACTTAAAGTCCAATCTTCCCTCAATTCACAGAGTATTTGCATTCCTGGAAAATTTAGTTTAATCCATTTTCAAAAATACTTTGTTCATATGTAGAAGAGTATTAAATTCTAGGCTGAAAAAATTAAAAACAGGTTTTTCTCTTATATAAGTGCTCCGTGGACCTTGGAGACTGTACAGGACACAGGACAATTCATATTCACATTGCAGGACTATCCTGCATATTGCAAGCACTCAAGCAGCCCTGCCCTCTTCCCTGGTCCCCTAGTTGTCATTGTGACAATCAAAACGGTACCTGCAGATTTCCAAAACTCCTTCTTGTGGGTAGCTCCCATCAAGAGCTACTCTAATACTGTTTTAAAGAAGCCAGAAATCTTTGTGAAAGCATTGAAATGCCCCTTATTTTTTAAGGCTAATAAATTAAACTTTTGCATATCCTGCTTTCTTAAAGTAGGCCTTTATCCATATGTGTATGTTAGACAGTATTTAATAATTTAAAATTGTTTACATCAAGCCTCAAAAATAACCTGATCACCATAGAATGAAATGAGCTCATCTGAAGTCTTACAGATTGTTTCTTTGGGTCTAAAATACTTGTGATAAGGAGTAGGCTAGATAACTAATTCCATTTCCTCCTATAAAGATTTCTATGCCATTTTCCAATCCAGTGGGATTTCCAGTGGATTTCCTCACCCCAGGTCAGAACCAGGAGACACTGATAAAATCATTTTAGATACTAATCCTGCTAAAATTATCAGTGACATTGTTACTGGCTGGTGCCACTCAAATTGCAGTTGGTGATTCTAGAAAGACCCAAAATGCAGATTCCTGCCCCATTGCACTTTGCTCTCTTCTCTTTATACTACCTAGGAGACTAATCCCAGCACCAGCACATCCGCACGTTTCATTTTGGATGATCTTGTACGCTTGTGTGGTTAGCAGATTGTTTATAGAAGCAGAACCCTGTTATCGGTTGGAATGCCTCTACCGTCATAATTTCTAGCCTGAGTGTACACATAATAAAAGAATGTGAAACATGATGCCCAGTCACTAATATAATTAGCCCCAGTGTTCCCAAGCAACATCTCCCTTTCAGGGAAACAACAGTCTAGTATTAAGCACTGAGGCTTTGAAGACATGCTGTATGGTTCTGAATCCCATCACCAACACTTAACTAGTATGTGGCCTGTGCAGGCTAATCTTTCTCTGTTTCAGACTCCTTTAAAGGGATGGTAAATATACCTATTTCATAGAGTGGCTGAGAAGATTAAAGAACATAATTCATGTAATGCGCCTGACATAGAGTAAACGTTTAGTAGCTTTCAACCGTTATTATACCAAAATTCAACACAGCTTCTTTGTTTCTAATTTACATTGAAGTCAACATATGCAGGCTTTTCCTCACTTCACAGTATGATCTCATCCTATTTATGTGTATTTTTCTTTTCCTTTCTCTTTCTCTGCTTGGTTCCAGGTCAAGTCTGGATGATTACTGTCCTTCTGAGCAAGTTGACACCATTCAAGAAAAAGTCATCAGTGTGCTACGCTCCCTCTATGGGACTCTAGACGTTCACCTGGTGTATTCAGCAGAGTCCACTTCATCTTGAAACATCACAATGCTAGGCTCCTATTAACATCTTGATGTAGTAACAGGGTTTTCATTAACTGGTTTTGAATCTTTCAGAGAACACTTTGTTTTAATATTAACTTTCATTTAAAATCTTTCAGGTACTTTGAATCTCCAAACAGGTATCACCAGTTGTTGAACGATGGCAGGTTTTTTTTGGCATCAAGTCTACCCCCAGTTGATGGAACTGATGCTCATCTTTCTTCCTGTCCATCACTGTCGTCTTCACTTTTGTGAGGGTTTTTTTCCTCTTTTCCCCTCTTCCCCTTAGGTTGGTTGGACTGTATGAGATTTATCCATTTATTCATTCACTCACCCAACTGACATTTTTTGAGTACGTTCATGTGCCAGACATAATTAAGTGCTGGTTATATGGTAACAAACAGAATAGACAAGGCCCCTGCCCTCTTGGTGGACAGCTGAGAAACAAATTATGGATTGTGAGACATGTTATGAAGGAAAGGAAAACCACAGACATGTCTTAGGCATGCTCTTAGTACTCAGGGCACCCTGGCCTTACAGGAAGGTAACATTCTCAGAAGCTACTACCAAAGTAATGATAATAATAATAATAAAAAAACTTGCCAGTCCATGAAAATGTTCTAGGAAGTCTGTCTTTCCAAGACTTAGGATTGTGGCCCAACTCTTATGAAATGCTCTCAGCATTGTTGGTATGAGGGGGTCTATTTGAGTAAATTCAACCAAACAAAAAGTAACTTTTCTTTGCTAATCAGAAAAAATCTCCAGGGTTTTTTGTTCCTCCAGATGGTCAGTATGGGTGTCAATTATCATTATATCAGTAGTTCCTAAGTGCTACTTTATTGGCAGTCTGGGTTGATAATTTTTTCAAATAAACCAGCTTTTTATGTAAATAGTAGGGGAAAGAAGTTAAGTCCTTAATTCTGATCTACCATAAATACCCAAGGACATAACTGCTTTCCACCAGTCTCCATGAGTAAGAGACCCTACCTAAGTCACTCTTGATCATGGAACTTTTCGTTTACTTAATTTGCTAAAGTCTTCCTCTCTTCAGTATTCCTCGTGTTCAGTAATCATTTTTAGTCACCTCCTTGGTTTCCTTTCCTTTAAAAGGTCGGGTGGCATGTAAAGAAAAAAAAAAAATCCATCAATCCTCATTCCTAATACAGCAGTAGTTTTCATTTTTGCATGTAGCTTTTAAGCCTTGACCACAGGGGTACAGTTGCATGTAGCTAAAATTATAGTGTGTTACCTAACTTGATGGTTAATACCCAAGGTCACATTGCCATTGTCACTCTGTAGGTGGCACCAGATCCTATTTTCCCAATGATTCTATTTTCCAACAAACTTTTCTTGTCATTAAGTTGATCTCCCAATGCTAATAAGTGTAAGTGCTTATTTCTGTTGTGAAAAGCAAAGCAAACTGATTCAGCTTTCCATTTTTGATAGAATATTATGTGCCAAAAAGCTTTATTTCCCTGTAAAATCAGAATGCAAAATAGTGCTATTGTTTATTTTTAAATTTTGAAAAAAAATTATTAGAGTTCTGTAAATGATGTTACTTTTATAAGTAAGTTATTTTATCAGCTAAAGTAAATAAAAAGGTGTGTTTTGAGGTTTTAAAGATTTAAAACCAAACTGTTGCACTAATTAATTGTATATAATCTTGGTGTGTTCATAGCCTTGGTAAGTCTGGTTTATTAGTCATTTATTATGATTCCCATGAACTCTGATGAGATTCATCATTGTTTTAACTCAGGTAGAATAAAAGGGCATCAATTTCCTTTTTAGGAGCATTCAGATCGTTTGGTTTTCATGCTCTGTAATTCTCATTGAAGAATAAAATTCAGGGCTTCCCTGGTGGCGCAGTGGTTGGGAGTCTGCCTGCCGATGCAGAGGACGCGGTTTCGTGCCCCGGTCCGGGAGGATCCCACGTGCCGCAGAGCGGCTGGGCCCGTGCTGAGCCTGTGCTGCGTCCGGAGCCTGTGCTCCGCAGCGGGAGAGACCACGACAGTGAGAGGCCTGTGTACCACAAAAAAAAAAAAAAAAAAAAAAAAAAAAAAAATAAACCCCCACTTTTTGACC